GTGGTCATTTGTTAGTTAGGGAAAGCCCTAAATGAAGAGTGAATGTATTTTACTCTTGCCATTTAAAAAGCCTGAATTACCTATGTTTCTGCTTTCCTTTATTTCTCCTTATTTTGCTTTGAAACAAGGTCTCTTGTATCCTTTAACTTGATATGTAAATAAGAAAAGAATGACTTTGAACTGATCATCCTGCCTCTATCTCCCTGGTATGAGATTACTGGCTTGTACCACCATGGCTGACAGTTTTGGTTTGGTTTGGATTGGATTTTATTTGATTTGTTTTGGTGTTCTGATTTGTTTTCTTGGAATGTGTATCAGTTACTGCTTTATTGCTGTGAAGAGACTCCATGGCCGTGGTAAGGCTTATTAAAGGAAATATCTACTTGGGGGCTGGCTACAGTTCACAGAGTTAGTCCATTATCATCATTATGTAGCCCTGGATTCCTTGGATGTAAGGTAAATCTTTCTCAGCTCCCAAATGCCAGGATTATGAGTGAGCCACCAAGTCTGGCTATGTTTTGGCTCCCTAGGGATGGTGCATTGATCTTTGCTGTGAACAAATCCATAGGCTGGAATTAGATTTTCCAAGAGGGATATACATCATGTGCTAAGTATAACCACCACAAATGGAAAGAAAACACCCAAAATCAGAGCCAGAAGAAAGATCTTGGCACATGCATGTAATCCCAGCACTGCAGAAGCTAAAGTTGGAGATTGGAGTTTGAGGTCAGCCTGACCCATAGAGTAAGATCCTATCTTAAACAAAAAATGGTGACTATATAACTCAGTCGTTAGAGGACTTGCTTTTATGCAAGATGCCCTGGGTTTGGTCCCTAGTACCACACAAATCAGACATTGTGGTGCATTTCTGTAATCCTAGCACTCAATAGTAGAGGCAAGAAGATCAGAATTTCAAGGTCATTTTCTCATTCTTGGCTACAAAGTAAGTATAAATCCAATCCTGGCTACATCAGATCCTGACTAAAACACACAAACAAACCCTGTAGGAGAAAGTTGGGTCACTGTAGGGGAGGGCGGTGTCAAAGGAGATCTTAGGAGCCTTAGAATTCCATCTCCTTCTTCCCCCTTGCTTCTCAGTGGTGAACAGGCCTCATATCTGCTGGTCAAGAATAATACCACAATTTAAAACCAAATTTAAAGCAAGGTTTAATTAAATTCTGGCCAGGTGTTAGGATTCTGCCACCACTCCAGCTGCGTGACCACACATGCACAGTTCAGCAGCTAAGCAAGGGGTCTTGCATCTTATGTCATCAGTGTGCACTGATGATTACATGCATGTGATGTGGTCACGCAATCATCACATGCGTGGCGTAGCTCCAAAAGCCTACCTGCGCATGTTCACAGGAATCCTTAGAAAGCCGGACACAGACTCCTCCTTCTTCCTCTGTTCTCTCCGGCTCTCTCTCTCTCTCTCTCTCTCTCTCTCTCGTCTCTCTCTCTCTCTCTCTCTCTCTCTCTCTCTCTCTGTTTTCTGCACATGCTTCTTCCCCAGGCCTGGTTCTTCTGTTCCCCCACCCCCTCCTCCTAATAAAGCTCTGATACTGGGTTTTGTCGTGACTTTCCGCATGGTAACCAGCGCTGCCTATTATTTTTAAAACAGCACCAGGTCCACCTCTGGTTTTCCAGAAAAATGACCCTGAATCAAGCTTTTTGGGAGCTTAAGAATGTCAAACCCACAATTCACATTTCTCATCAGGTCCAATCAGGGGCAAGCATACATACCTGCCTACTTTCAGCCTATATCCAGTCAGGGGCAAGCACACATCCTGACATATTTCCTGCCTGTGAACCTCTTGCCCACATGTGATCGAGCACATCCGGTGCAGATGGGTCAAACAAACTTGTTTAGGGGAGTGAAAACATGTGACTTGTTATCTCCCATAAACAATAGCCTCCAGCATTTCAGGAACTATCTGTCCTTGGGCAAGGAGCTTGCAGATCAGAGGCATTTTTGTTTCATGGATCTCTAAGGCATAGTAATTAAAACTTGAAATGTAACTTTGGCTCTCACACTGCCTGTGGTATACTATGCCACTACAGTCAGAGTGACAAGTCAACATACCAAGGGCTGAAACTTTAGAAACCATGAGCCAGAATAACAACCTTGCCGCTTTTTACATGGATTTCCTCAGGCATTTTGTCACAGTGATGGAAACTTAGTAATAGAGCCAGAATGGGTATTCTAGACACAGGAAGAAAGGAAAGGAGGGAGGGAGGGAGGGAAGGATGGACCTGCAGAGAGGGAGGGAGGGGCAGGATGCACACTGGGGATCTTGACATAACAGCAGAGGGCTTTGAACGGGGCACAGCGTGCTGATCATGTATCTAAGGGTCATTTTGTTCCCATCTGCTGGGAAGGGCCTGGGATATTCAAACAGGCTTGGAGAGGATTGCTCAAAGCACCTGGATTTCTCCCAGGGCATCATGGGTCTGCAAAGAGCCAGTGGCTCCCTTATCTACAGTTGATGTTGAAGGGTGGAGTCTGTGGTGTGGAGCCCTATCCCATACAGACTGAATAGGATGTGTTGACACAGATAGGTCTGTGGGGAAGCTCAGTGCTACAGAGTCATTCCCAGGTCTGCCCAGCCTCAGTCAGAGCGGGCTGAAACAAGCCCATGAGGACTGTGGGCTGGGCTTATCAGAGAAGGGGGTGGGGTTTGGAGGATGGAGGTGTAATATTGGGGTGGTTGCTGACCCTGGCAGAAGAGCTCTGAGGATTGCTATTGAGATGTCAAACCTCATGTTATTCATTAAGTGGCACTGTTTACCATGTGAGAAAAGCCTTGAGGTACAACAAAACCCACTATAAGAGTTTATTAGGGGAACAGAAGGGATGTGCATAGGCCTACGGGAATGATCATGCAGGAAGAGGGAGGAGGGATAGATGGAACCTGCTTTTGTAGGTTCCCCCTGCACATGCCCATATGGGCTCACGTAGCTACGCCATGCATGCACATAGATTACGGGATCACGCTGCACATAAATTACGTGATCATGCAACGCATGGATTATGTAGGACGTAAGGCCCTGGGATGGCTAAACCTCTTGCTTGGCTACTGGACAGTGCATGTGTGGTCATGTAGCTGGGGGAGTAGCTAGGAATTTTAACAGTTGATTGACACTTGCAGAAGAGCTTTGAGGGTTGCTATTGAGATGTCAGACCTCAGGGACCCTCCCAGCTCACTGTCAAACTCTCTAGAAGCACCACTGTGACCTTGGGCTTGCAAGACGCCCCTCATGCCTAAGCTGGGGCTTGCAAGACGCCCCTCATGCCTCAGCTGGGGCTTGCTCCAGGAACACAAGCTGCTGCAGCTACATGGTGAGGGCTTGGCCCAGTCCAAAAGAACATACAGCCTTAGGGGGCAGGGGTGGACGGAAGTCTCTGGAAGCCAACTGGGAGAGAGTCGGCTCCTGCATTGGTAGGCCAGCTCCCTGACTGTCTCAACTGCTGTTCCAGCCAGGGAGGAAGAACGGGAAGCCTGATGGGACTTAGCGGGTGGGGTGTGCTGATGGGACAAAAGAAAAGGGATCCAGAAGTTTCTTCAGTTGTTTTATTCTGTCAGGCCTAGAGCAGGGGTAGACTCAGATAGACAGGTGAGTCCACAGATGGAAGCATTCAGAATGGTGCTCAGTGAAAATGCTGACAGACCATGACAGCTGGCATGGATGGTTCTGTGGGCCCATCACGGAAATCGGAACCAAAACGATTGCAGGAGGAGGATTTGAGAAGACAGCGCGGTTACGCAGATCCTGGGTTTGATGGTAGTGCCCGTGCCAAAACTCCTCCAGCCTATCAGCGTAGGGGCTTTCTCCTCGGGGGGCGCCGAGAAGGGGTCGGCGTCAGGTGTTTCTTGCTTTTTCTTCTTGATCCAGTCGGAAAAGTGGGAGACTTTGGTGAAAATGTTGGGGCTGGAAACTGACTCTAGACACGCTGCGGCCCAGCTGGCCAACCCTATCACATACCAGGAACCATCCAGTAAGCAGACAAGGGGACCCCCAGAATCTCCCTGAGGAGAGAGAAGACATAGCCAGCAGGTCCAGGAAGGAAGGAACACACATTGCCCAGGGTAAGGACTTGCTGGGGACCAGAGATCTCTAAAGCTATCTTGACTGGTGGCCTTTGGGTCCACGGAAGCATGTTTTTGTTGTTGTTGTTTTGTTATTTATTTATTTATTTATTTATTCATTCATTCATTCATTTGGTTTTTTCGAGACAGGGTTTCTTTGTGTAGCTTGGCCTCAAACTCACAGAGATCCACCTGGCTCTGCCTCCCGAGTGCTGGGATTAAAGGCGTGTGCCACCATCACTCAGCTGTTTAGTTTTTTTAATTAAAACACAGGAGACCTCTCCTACATCAGTATCTTCAGGGCAGGGTCATAGAATTCTACTCAATAAAGCTGCAAAGGGATCTTGTACGGTACCTACCTGGGGCAATCATAGACTTTTAGTATGTGGATGACAACTGAACATCTGCTATCTGTCCCACCACCCGCATGGGAGGGGAAGCCTCTAAGGACACACGGGGCGGCCTGCTGGCCAGGATTAGGGAGAGGACTGAACTCCACAGCAGTGTGTGAGCCACCCTCGCTTACTCGGCAGATGTACTTTCCATTCACGGCGTCCCCAGCACATATCATATCTTCTTTTATAACTTTATACTGAAAGGTGTTGACTTCTGGAGTCTGGAAAAAGGCTTCACATTGCTTGTCATCCATCAGGAAGACCTCTCCATCCTGCAGAGGGAAAGGTGCCGCCAGGAACTCTGTGGGAGGGAACTCTGTGCATCAGTTGTGAGATGCAGCTGACTGGAAGATGCCAGCTCCCTTCCAGGATGATTGCTGACAGGGGTGGGGGGACTGAGGGGGTGGGAAGTCACTCTAGGCTACAGTGACAGGGAAGGGCTCACAACAGGCATGCAGTGACCAGGGGAAAGGGCATTCAAGGGCAATCAGAGGGGTGTGGAAGACAGGAGCAGGCTGGAAATCAGGGTGACTGTAAAGGTCGCAGTGTGGGGGCCCCAGGCAGAGCCTCCTCACCAGACTAGGGGACTGAGACTGCACCCTGAGGACACAGGAACCAAGGAAGGGGAACTCAGCTTGCGAACAGCTCTGGCTGCTCTGTGGGGCCCAAGCTGGACACGGGGACACTGGAGCCCGCATGCAGCAGCGACATAGGACATGGGCCAGAAACCTTTAAGAGCGTGACAAGAAGACTGGCCAATCCCAAGGAGCAACTGCACCTGGAGACATGAGTTCCGTTTCCAGGTCCTCTCACAGATCCGGCCTGGGGTCACCTCATGGGAGCCGAGTGACAGCAGCACCTCAGGCAGGGGCCACTGTGCACATCCCTCAAGGGTGGCCAGGGCTGCCTGCGTGTAGCAGACCCAAGCCTGCCCCCAGGCCCAGCAACCATGGTCAGGAGAGGGCATGACAGAAGATGGCTGAAGGTCCAGCTCTTAGGGAGGCCAGCTTCTCTGCTCTGAGCGCTGCCCCAGCCCACACCTTCCCTCTCTGTTCCCACTCTCATCCCCTGGCCCGACCTGGAGACCCTATCGCCCTGACTTGGGCTTAGAGAGTGAAGGTCCATCCCCTCTAATGCTGGTGAGCCCGACACTTAGAGCCTAGGAGCAGGGATGGGACCCAAGCCCTGACCTCAGAGGAACATCTGCCTGCAAGCCTCCTCGGGGCTGCTCTGCCAGATCGGGACCCTAAGTTTCATGTCAAATTTATATTCACTTTATTTCACGTGCCATTATACTGTCTTAAGTCAAAAGCATTCAGTCCAGCGTAAGATCCTCGCCAAGGATCTCTGTACTCTCAGTCTAAGCATCTACAGTCATCCTTTATTGTCATTAGCAGGCTCTTCTGTGGCCCAGGACACTAAACTCTGAAGACACTGAATTCCTGCTGCATAGTGTATGCAGAGAACCTGTGCATATCTTCCTGCACACTTGAAATCATCTCTAGATGACACTCTCTGACACGGGGCAAATGGGACACACATAGTCACAATACTGTATTGTTTAGGGGACAAGGACAAGGAGACTGTCACCCCTCAACACTAAGGCTTTTGGTCCACAGGTGACTGGATCCATGGATTCATGGGTCGGAACCACATGCAGACAGGTTGTACAAGCTGGTAGAACAGGCAGTCTTCCCTTGCCTTGAGGGCTGGGCAGTGAGATTCACAGAGGTGAGTGTTCCCCAGGTAAACACCCCAACCTGCCCCATGCCTGGTCTCTCTCATCTTCTGAAGGACACCCCGTGTCTTTTCCTGGCCCGGGTAGAGCAACCACCGTTTGGTGAGAGCCTTGCGGTGCACAGGGTCAGCCACACTCAGGGCTCTGGAGTCAAAGAGCCCACACTTCTGATCTGGAAGGCGGAGCTTCGCTTTTGAACCAGAAACTGAGGTTCACAACCCCAGGAAAGGCCTCCACAGTCCCCTGCCCCTCCCCCCTCTTCACCTGTTCTGTGTACTCACCATCCTCTCTGAGCATCCCCCAGCCACTTATCCAGCAGGACCTATCAAGGGGCACCTTCGTGGTGTTCTCTGGGACGCAGGCTGGCAAGATGTGGGAGCTGTACGTCACAGGCTTGTGCAGCTGAATCAGGACGATGTCGTTCCCCTGATTGTGGACCTTGTTAAAGTTCTCGTGCAAGATGAGCCTACTCACTGTCATCTGTCGGCTGTACTCGGTGGGACTGCCCAGCTGGTGGTACCCTAGCAGGACCCGGTAGTCAGATGGTTTGCGGGACCTAGTAGAGGGCAGCATCTCTGAGTGCAGAGTGGGCGCTGTCACCTTGATTGCCCACCCACCCTGCAGGCAGCCCATACCACATGTCCCGTCATTTCAGTTCTCCCCTCCTAATACTAGGATGGTCCTTCTCTTCAAGGGCAGGATGACCTCCAACAGCCTGAGGACTTTGGTCCTTTGAAGGCTTCCAATCACTTCTCCCGCATACCCTAGTGTCCAAGGAGCTGTGGATTTTATTCTCATTAAATATATTAATATATATATATTTGAGGTACATCCAACTGCTCTGCTTCATCTTGGAGGAAGAAAGACTGCTCACTTCCAGCCCTGACCAGATCCCTCTTAGGGCTGCATGAGAATTGTTTTTATTTTTATTTTTTCTTAGCTTCTAGGAATACCTAAAAGGAAAAAAAAAAAAAATAGGTTTCCTAACTCTGGGCCTCTCCTGTTGTCCCTTTATTTGAGGGTTGGCAGTCCGGGTGGAGGGCGACACCCAAGGGCAGGGCAACAACACAGAGGACTCCTGCTGGCAGCCGGCTAGCCCAGAACACAGTCTAGAAGGAAATGGCTGATATGCATCCTTCCTTCTCTCCTTCCCTCCTAGTGACACTCTCCTGCACCCCTTCCCAGCAGAAGGGCCCCAGGGAGGGAACACATACCCACCTTTGGAAGCAGTGGGCAGCGCCGGCTACCCAGTTTTTGTCGATGAGGACTGCTCCACAGATATGACTGCCACGAAAGAGCAGACTGGCCTGCCATGGCCACCGCCCAGGTATTGCCATCTGACCGCCAAAGATCTTCCCTTGCAAATTGGTCCTGCCACATACTGTGGAGACAATCCCAGCCGCGAGGCACCTGCATTCAGGATGCATGTGCTTGGTACGCCAAATGTCAGCATCAGCAGGCCCCAGGGGACGCCATGGCCTTTTCAGGTGGGCATAGCCAAGGTCAAGAGTGGAGTGGCATGGCCCATGAGCCTCCTGGATGGCAGGGGCGGGGCGGGGCAGGGCGGGGCGGGGGTTCGGTGTTAGGCTGAGAGCCTCTCAAGCAAGGCCCGCAGAACAGAGGGAGGTGCAGGGAAAGGGGAGGGTGCTGCCAGGCTCTCCTCAGACCTTACTAACTTGAGGAACACAGCTCTGAAAAGCGAGAAACTGAGGCTGACAGAAGCCATTATTGTTCAGGGCCATGGTCTTTTGGCTGGGTGTGCCCTCCCATTTCAACCCAATGAAGAGCATGGCATAGCCCTCAGCCAGCCTAGTGCTTGACCTTGACCCTGAACTGAGGGAGGGAGTCTGGAGATCAATGAGAATTAGTCAGCAGAAGATAAGGGTATCCTGTATTGACCCCCACCTTCAGTTTTGTTTTCTTTCTTTTTTTTTTTTTTTTTTTTTCTGGAGCTGAGGACCGAACCCAGGGCCTTGAGCTTGCTAGGCAAGCTCTCTACCACTGAGCTAAATCCCCAACCCCCGACCCCCACCTTCAAAGCTTCACGCTCGGTGTAAAAGCCTGCAGACCCCACATCCACCCCCCTACTCCCTCCACCCCTGCCAACTGCCTATGTTCCAAGGGAAAGGGAGGGGACATGCCCATCTGAGACCTGCCTCCTCTTTCGAGCATTTACCTTCCTCCTGGTCTGGGGGGCCTTTTGGTGTGGGCGGGACGTCCAGTGTGCCTGGGGCTCTTTGCGCGGGCGTGTAGTCCTGGGCATGCTGTGGCAAGAAACTGGAACAGAGTAGGAGAGCAGCCAGCAGACAGGCTCCTCTCCTGCCCTGGCCCGATGGCTGGGCCCTGGTACCCGGCATCTTGCCGGCCTGCCCCTGGGTCCCAGGCAGGTCCGAAAGCACGTGCTGACAACCGCTGACGCCGGCAAACTGCCTCTGGGGGACATCTCTCACCCACCCCACCTCGCGGAGCTGAGCAAGTGAGCGGAAAACCTAGGTCCACGGGAGGCAGTCAGCACTGGAGCAAGTTTTGTCTCTTCTCTGGCTCCCCCTGGAGGGCACAATCATCCACTGCATCCCAGAATTGCTCCGTTTCGGTTCTGTTACCATATGCACTGAAAACACAGTCTCACCACCTAGACTAGGACATCGTCATCTCATCAAAGTTCACACAGTTATCAGCTCCCTCCTCTGATGGTAACCAGCCATTACTGCCCTTAAGCACAGTTCTAGAAACTAAACGTTCCCAACGTGCCTGCTTGGACTAGTACTGGTAAGTTATGTTCAGATGCGAAAGGTAGGTAGGGTAATGAGGAAAATACAGGGAAGGTTCTGGTTTAGAGTAGGTTTTATGCCCTATTGGGCAAACTCATTGGCAATCAGGGCCTGAGGAAGGCATTCTCTGGGACTCACAGCTCTGCCCTTGGGATTCTTAACTAGTTTTCCTTTTTAACTTGTTATTGTGTTTTTGGTTGGATTTGGTTTGGTATGTTTGTTTAAATCGGAAAGCAGCACACATTTGCTTGTGGTCACTTCTATAAGCTCCCTGCCATGACGATCAAGGCAGGTTGGGACAGGGTGTGCTTTCTCTGTGCCCCCAGCACTGCTTACAGGGGGAGCCATAGCTGTCTGAAGTACTTCATGGTTATTGGGTGTGTTTCTTGAGGCTTTGCTTCATCAGACAAAGCAGCCGCCACGTATAAAACACTTCCTCCTCTGCCTTGGCCACCTGAAGAGGCAAGAGGCAGCCAAGTGCTCTGAGCCATACCCCACGCCTTGGACTCTGATGGAGACCTGCCTGTGAGGAGCACCCACTCTCTTGAAATGTTTCTAGAAGAGGCACTCAGAAACTGCTTTTACCAGAAAGCATTCTGTAGGTCCACCTAGTAACTGAGCTCTCGCTACACAAAGAATGAGAAGTAGTTTATTCCGAAGCAAACATCCCTTAATACGGTTCAGGAACCCAGACTCAAGTTTCCCTAAATGATATGTCCCATGGTATGATCTTAAGTCACAAAACAAAAACTAATACACCAATGTGTTTACTAAATATAGAGGGGAGGATATTGGGTAGGCATTGCAAACTGAAGTTCCTAAGAAAAGCCACGAGTCTACAAGGCTGATTGTGTTGGTTTTTTGTTTGTTTGTTTGTTTGTTTTTGTTTTTGTTTTGCTAAATTGACACTAACTTGACAGAAACTAGACTCATGTGGGAAGGGGGAAATTCAGTTGAGAAAAAAAAAAATGCCTGTATCCCATTGGTCTGCAGCATGCTTGTGTGGGGTTTTCTTGACTGTTGATTGGTATGGCAGGGCTCAGTCTCCTGGGAGCAGTGCCAATCCTGGGCAGGTTGTCCTGGGAGGTACTAACCATGACCCTGGAAGCAAGCCAGTAAGCAGCATTCCTCTATGGTTCCTGCCTCTGCTCCTGCTGAATTCAGTTCCTGCTCTGGATTTCTTCGGCGATGGACTGTTATCAGGACACGTAAGCCAAATAAACCCTTTCCCCCAAGTAGCTTTTGGTCATGGTTTTTATCACAGCAACGGAGTACCAGACTACTATATTGACTGATAGATTCGAACTTCCAGAATGATTTCTCTAGTAGTCACAAGGATGTTAGGTCAGACACAGAGGTGGCAAATCAGTGACTATTAGGAGAGCTAAAGATAGCCCAAAACAGTGCTCTCAAATTCAACAATTTAGAGTATGTACTGCTCTTTCCGAGGACCAGTGTTGTATTCCCAATATTCACACTGGGCAGCTCACAATCTATAACTTTAGCTCCAGGGAATCTGACACCCTCTTCTGGTCTCTGCAAGCAACTACACTCACATGTACATAACCTCACACAAAGAGACACACATGCATACACATAATTAAAAGTAAATAATAATTTTTAAAGATTTTATTTTATGTATATGAGTATTCTACCTGTATATATGCCTTTATGACAGACGAGGGTATCAGAACTCACTATAGATGGTTGTGAGCCACCATATGGTTGCTGGGAATTGAACTCAGGACCTCTAGAAGAGCATCCAGTGCTCTTAACCACTAAGCCGTCTCTCCAGCCCAAGTAAATCATAATTCAAAAAAAGAAAAGTACCTCAGTTTATGACTTTTTTTCTCTACAACTCTAAAAGCTTTCATGAAATTGTTACCACATTTTTGAATATAGTATTTGAAGTAACCTGAATGAATCCATGTTCTTGAGCCATAATGACTCATATTTGGTTCCAGGATAAACTCGCGTGTGTGTGTGTGTGTGTGTGTGTGTGTGTGTGTGTGTGTGTGTGTATGTGTGTGTGTGTGTGTGTGTGTGTGTGTTCTGTGGGGTTTAGATGCTATGTAGTGTCATTCTTGTAACAGGAATGAATCCTGATCAGCAGGGAATTCAACCAAGTGCTCAGGTGGAAAAGGAGAAACTCTTTATTCAAAAGATGAGGTAGCCCTATGCTCCGGAAAAGACCAGACCTGGATTATAAATTCACACAGCTTATATAGGTTTTAGTGCTTACTGTAACAGCTTCAGCACTGTTAGATTCAAGCCATGGTCCTCACAGTCCTCTACAGGTGGTCTTAATACCTCGTGGCCACTGAAGGGAAATCCCATTGCATTTAGGCATGTTTGGAGACGTGCGATTAATAAGGAGAGGTTTTGCAGTATAGTTGTCTTTTAAGATGATTCTGTAAATAACTTCATTTACAGAAGCAAGCAAGAATGTAGAAGCAGAACTGAGCATTCCTTGTCCTTGACTATGTTCAATTTAGACTATTATAATGTAAGTCAGCAGTTTGACTATGTTAGGTGTGTATTAAAGGTAATAAATATGTAATGTATGATTTTCTCCATATTATCCTTGGCTTTTGGGCTAGTGGAAATGAATGGTCTGCCAGGATAACACCTTCAAAAGATTTTTCCTAACCATCAGGATGTTCGTTCACGTATAGAAGTTGGAAAGTGACAGCAACGAACGGGACTAAAGAGTCCCTGAGAGAAACCTGGCTTTCGGCCTTCACACCACGGAATTCTAGTCAGTCACTTGGAAGAATCTTCCTCAGAGATGTGGCTTTTTAGAGAGATTCAGTTCATATAACTAACAGCCAAGCAAAGCCAGGCGTCTCTGCCTCCATTTTGTATATGTTCACTTTGCTCCATGTTGTCAGCAGTGGGGGAGACAGAGGTACAGTTCTATATTGTCACCTTCAGCACCCTGAAGGTGTCCCCCTAATCTTCTAGGACCTCCAGTCAGGCCAAGTCAGAATCGCAGCTTTAACACAGAGTTGAACGTTGTTGTTGTTTGTTTCGTTTTTCCAGACAAGGTTTCACTGTGTAACAGCCCTGGCTATCCTCGAACTCGCTCTGTAGACAAGGCTGGCCTCAAACTCACAGAGATCCTCTGCCTCCTGAGTGCTGGGATTAAAGGAATGTGCCACCACTGGCATACAGTTGGATATTTCATTACCAATATGTTAACATAAACTTTAAGCACAAGAATTAGGATAAAGACAGCTAGAGAGAGAGAAGGTAAATTGCATGCTCAGGTGTGGGTATGGACTCCTGGATAGACAGCGGTAACAGCCACACATACCACCTGGATGGCTCTGGAATTACATTTTAGAAGACTGTAAGAAGCCTTCTTACTCCCTTTCTTTCTCTTTTGATAAGTGAGACTATTGGGTAAAGTGCCTGGGGTGGGATTATATATAACCTGATAAAGTGAAATCAGGAAACACTAGAGTGACATGGGGGGAGGGGGCGGTTTAGTACATGTCTTTTCCTTGAAAATGGGGTTTCTTGTGGCATTCTTAGAAAATTGCAGGTTTCTATCTAAGAAGGGAGAAAATCCTTAAACAGTTGTTAACTATGCAGGAATGGTGAGTGTGTGTCTGTGTGGTGCTGTTAGAAATGGATCTGCAGGGGAGTTTCACAAAAATAACCACACAATCCAAAGGCAAAAAAGGTTTATTTCCTTGGTTCTTTGAGAAAATCAACAAGATAGACAAACTTTTATCCAAACTAAGAGACAGAGAGAGAACATCCAAATTAGGAAATTTAGAAATGAAAAGGGGAACATAACAAAAGACACTGAGGAAATTCAAAGGATCATTAGGTCATACTCCACAAATCGGAAAATCTAAAAGAAATAGATAATTTCCCTGATATATATCACTTACCAAAGTTAAATCAAGATTAGACAAGCAATTTAGATAGACCTACAACTCTTAAGGAAATAGAAGTCATTAAAAGTCTCTCAACCAAAAAAGAAAAGCAGAGGACCAGACTGTTTTAGCACAGAATTCTACCAGATTTTCAAAGAAGAGCTAACACCAATACCCCTCAAATTACTCCACAAAGCAGAAGTAGAAGGAACATTACCAATTCATGAGGCTACAGTTACCCTGATATCCAGACCACACAAAGATTCAACAAAGAAAAAGAATTACAGACCAACTTCCCTCCTGAACTAGATGCAAAAATACTCAATAAAATACCCACAAACTGAATCCAAGAACACATCGAAAAGATCATCCACCATAATCAAGTAGGCTTCATCCCAGAAATGCAGAGATGGTTCAGCATATGAAAATCAGTCAATGTAATCTACCATATAAACAAACTGAGAGAAAAACAAAACAAAACACATGATCATCTCATTAGATGCTAAAAAAAAGTCTTGGACAAAATCCACCAACAATTCATGATGAAAGTCTCAGAGAGATTAGGGATAAAAGGGAGATACTTAAACATAATAAAGGCAATTTACAGCAAGCTTTATAGCCACCATCAATTTAAATGGAGAGAAACTCAAAGCGATTCCACTACAATAAGCAACAAGACAATACTGTCCCCTCTCTCCATATCTATTCAATATGGTACTTGAAGTTCTAGTTGAAGCAATAAGACAACTGAAGGCTCACCCCTGCATGGCCTG